TGACCGCCAATGTTCTTAAAGTCATCTTGTGATTGTGAAAATCTTTTCTTCAAATTCTCAATATTGCCTGCAAAATTTGTCCGAAAGTCAATTATTATCGCATGGCAAAGTACCAAAACATAATAGGCTTTCAAATGCTCACCAGTCTTTCTAAGCGGTTTTTCAAATGCTTTATTTGACTCAGGAGTTTGCAATGAGAAGCGTTTTTTCGCTAGTTCCACAGAGCCTGCATAGATGTTATCCACCTGTTAATCTCTGCCGACTTGGGAATAGTTGAAAAGACAATAACACACTTACTAGTTTTAGGGATGAAAATCGATTCCGATTTCGGTAATGATAGTCTTTTTGCAAGCGACTCGACTGTTGGGTATAGGGAATTGAGGTTGTGAGTTAACAATAAGTAATTGCAATGTGTTAATTCTTTTTGAAAGGCTACCTGTTGGTGACGAAGCCGTGCTCGAATTGGTTGATGTTGGGCTTTTTGGTAAGCTTATTGTTTCTAGTTGAGGTAGAGAAACCGTTTTTATATCTTCATTCATAGGAATGTGGGTAGAGAAATCATTAGTTTTGTAAACGAGAACAAGAAATAGATAAAGGGCGAAATCTGTTCATCACAATAAATTACCATTGAGTTTATTTACAGAGTCACTAATATGTGGTGAGGTCGGCATATCTATTCAAATTGCACAATTTTTCAATACAGAAGAGCAGATAAGCCAACAATTGTAAGGTCAAGGCAGATAGAAATTGCCATAGTCTTACCTTCTTCGAATCCATTAATATTAAGCTTCCCGATCTGTTTTGTAGCTTCTTCTTCTTCAGCTGAATGGAATAGCCGATATTAGTGTTATGCATACAAATATCAATCAATTGTCAAAAGTCCATTAAACCCGTCTTACCATCATCCGCACGCAGAACAGGCATACATAATGGATCATTTATGTTCTTTGGTTCTGGCAGATTCTTAAACTTTAATAATCGGCTTGTATACGATGCATTCGGATGAACGTTATAGCTCCCAGACATGTGCATCGTAGTTCTCTTCCCGTTTGCTTCTTTAAACTGCGAAGCAATCCTTGATCCCAGCTGATGGATCGACTCGCACCACTCCCCAAGTACTTCAACCAAATATGTAGCTGATGGTCGCTCCTCGGGTCGTGCATCCCAACATCTGTTCATGAGCACTGCATAACACTCGGGAGTCCCGTCAACAACCTTGGGTCTAACTCCATCGCAAATATCGAGTGCCAACAAAAAGTTGTGTCCTCGGTTAGCAAATGGTCGTTCACCAGACGCCACCTCCCACATGATAGTTCCAAAGCTGTATACGTCTGCTGCTGGCGAATGCGGTTTATCGTGAAGTAGTTCTGGAGCTATATATGGGAGAACTCCATGTGTCTTTGCCTTGTTGTACCGGGATGATTCGTCCGCCGGTCGATATAGACCAACGTCACTTATCATATATGCATTGTTATTGTATAAAATGTTTCCACTGTGAAAGTCACCATGTATCAGATTTGCACCATGGATTTCAGCGAGACCACGCGCTATTTCCGTGATTGTGTATAGTTTGTCTTCCCAAACAAGAGTGTGGTATTTCTGATCCAGAAATGTACGAAGGCTGCCCTCTGGTATGTATTGGATCGCCAATACAAATTCCTTTGTAGAAGGGTCTTTGGTAATTCCATAGTATCTCAATATTCTGTTTGAATCAAGTCGTTGTTTAAGGCCGGAGATCTATGCGCATAATGTAAAAATGGGGATTAGCACAAGCTAATGACGACATAATATACAGTATTTGTTTGTATATTGTACATTTGTATGGGGGCGTTTATTATCAGCCATAGGCATTATCTTATTTAATCACTTATCCAAAAGTCGTATGGTTTCATTTTCATTACCTCATTCAAATATTCATCAGTGATCTTTTGTGAATTATTCAGCGTTTTTAGGACGACAGAGGTTTGTCCTGCTCTCTTCCACTGATTTTTTGATTTGTCCCAAGAGACTATTGGGCCTTCCGTCCATTCAGCCGACGACACAATGCTGAATCCACCTTTCGCTATATACGAAATACTTTTGAACTGACAATGCGGGATCCATTCTATGAAATCGGTTTTTTTTGTTGTATTCTGCTGTGATAATCTGATGAAGTTGTCAATATCGGAATGTTCACAAGTCCAATTACTATTTTCCTTCAAGCGGGCGGAATCGCATTGAGCGCACCAGTTATAGTCCGCACGCAGTATTCCGCAGTCTTCACAACGGCCATGCGTGAGTATTTCGTTGCTTGCCCGCGTGGTATTTTCGGTGAGGGGTGGTATTTCGTCGACATGTGCAGAGTCTTTTTGTAGAAGGTACATTATTGGTGTAGTTAGTATACGAGGAGAAGGGGGATAAAAGTGACTTTTGAATACAAATAGTTAATATTCAATTAGCCAGATATTTATGAAAGCCAAAGAATAACGGAAATTTAGGGCTTTGGGGATGGTTAAGAATCATTAATAATCACAGGGGCCGCATACACAGTTTAATCCCAAATAATTCAGCTAAATGATAAATGGGTATATAATAATGATGGTCGATGACACGCAAGACGAATTAATCATTGTATTCACGAACTCTTTCTCCCGATAAGTTGGAAACTACTTCCGAAGTAATGGCTAAATACGGATGAGACCAATCAGAAGCCGATTTTTTTATTAGACAAGCATACAATAGGGTTACATAAAATGCATTTAATTTAGAACGAGGTGTAAAGGCGGATTGCTAGTAAACCTGATAATATTATGTATTAGTAAATTAGTATGCCCTCCCCTCTCGTTTCGAATGTCGTCATATTAAAAGTAGCATGGTTATTTTCGTAGAATGCCGACCAATTGTATTAGGTAAGCGATAAAAAAAACTGATTTTTTTATCCAGTTTGTCCTGCAAGTCGACGTTTTAATTTATCCGACTACGTTTGCCTCCCGAAATAGAGCCAGAAAGGTGCTATAAATATCTTTCTACATTTACAACGCCCTTTTTAATCCATTGTAATACGTTATCTATCACCCCTTGTGTTACTGAATGCGAAGTTTTGATTCTGGTGAATAATTAAGTCGAGTTATCGTTATTTTCGGTGAACGGCTACCAATTGTTTATATGGCACAAGTTTTACTTGTTCTACAGAATTATATACGGTGCCTCATTCAAAAACCTTAAACGTAAAAAAGTGTGCGACATTCAGTTTATGGATTGGGCTGGGGCAATGTTGAATGCGCAATGCTGAATATGCGCAATGCTGAATGAAAATTTTATATACAGATGCCACACTTGGACAGAGCTCTCTTTGTACGCACTTTTTCATGGTTTTGTGATACGGGGGTTGAAATATGATGAGAGATAATTTTCTTTGTACAGATTATCGAAACTCGGGTGTTTCTGGTAAAAACGGTTCGCAAAATTAACTCTCAAATACTGATACAGCGAACGGGGGATAACGAACGGAACGGTAGACAACGAACGGGAGATTGTTATTACCGCCGTTCAGTTTCGTAGCCCCCATGCAAAATTGACCCCAGTGTGCAAATGGTGTGTATCCAGATGTGGCGGTACACCCAAAAAAGTCGCCGTGAATATTCTTACTCTGCATTTTAAATCTGATATAATCACACCGTAATATCTATGAATAGAATTTTCACGATTCGGATAATAACATAGCTATGCATCGGTCCTTTTATTATTACTATTACCAATGCAAATGGAAAAAAAAAATATAGGCAAGGCACAATCAATCTGGATGGAGTCGGTAGTGTTACAAACATCCTTATTACATATTCAAATTTCCATACGAAGAGCTTTTTGCCGATTGTTTGACAATAGTAAAAACAAGTCGCTACGCTCTTAAAACATACGAAGACATGTTGATTTTGGCACAAATATCTCTAGAAGCATGAAAGCGAAGAATTTGTTGTCTAGTTTTGTGCAACATATCAATTATCTGCATTTGAAATTATGGCAATCAGGTGATGTCACTTGGAATCCAAATTAGTAAAATGTAAATTGCCGATCCCAATTTCTTTTTTAGAACAGTTTTTCATTTCCGATAGGCCAGAAGGTCCTGGCAAATATCCTAGTATCTACAACCACCCCACATCTCAACTCCCGTAGGTGCAACTAAATAAAAAAGGAACGCAAAACTCCACATCTCAACTCCCCTTGACATTCTCCGTCTCACATAGACTAGCTTGTTCCCACTTCTCGTTATTGCACCCGGGCTAAATGGGATAAGATTATATATAGCTTATGCACTTCTGTTCTCTCCTGTAACATGCTAAAACTGGTATCAGCGCGTTATTGCATAAAGCTGTGTTCAATCTTATTGTGTATTACCACTGATAACGTAGAGCCTTTTGAAAATCGTAGCAACAAGTGGTACATATGCAAGGATTGACTATAATGACAAGGTTTTCAATCTTCCAACAAAAGAAAAATTCAATCAATGGAATCAATGGAATGATTCAACTTAACGTCCTTATTAATTCTAGGGAGTTACCAACAATCAATGCGTCGACTGAGATAATCTGTTCCCCAACAATCACGAGCTTGATGAAGATAATACTTAACAGTTCCAGATTATTCATATTATTTTAATCCGGTTTTCCACGTGACTAATGAATATGCTTGGTCACAAATTACTATAATAAATACTGTACAAGTGGGTATAATAATAGATATCCAATAAAATTATTGGGGTATTAAACCCTCATCTAAATACCCAGAACCTCCCCCACAATCAACAAACGCTCCATTTGTATAAAAGCCACATATTGCGATAATGAATGCGTAAAAGTGAGGCATTTCCACCTTCAAATAAAATCTACTAACAAGTTATGGTCAACCGCAAAACCGAATGACTCTAATAAACAAAAGAAACATCTGACGCTCAATTTTTTGGGTATAACACGTTTGATTTGACTCTATAAACTGTATTATTGGCAACATTTCTCATCTCCACGATGATTGGACGTGCCGTGTATTGGCGAAAAAAGTTGTTTAGTGCAGACAAACGGCCATTCAAAAAGCAACAGTTTGGAGACATTAACGAACATTCTGCCGATGATGATTCTGCACAAACATCAAATCGTGGCACCGGAATAGATAAATACAACATAATTGACAATATATCCCAAACATCGACTGAACGAATTTGTCATTATTCCGATTTCACACACTTGGCCAATTCTCAGCAAGACAACGGCAAATATCTCGACAAGTTTACTGACGACAAATTTCCTCACGGCGAATTTACTGAAGACAAATTTCCTTACGGCAAATTTACTGACGACAAATTTCCTGTGGGGTGCGCTAATGTTAGGAGACAAATAAACAGAACATTTACAGATCCCGCGCTGAGCACTACTATGAATAGTTCTCGCAGCAAAAAAGCGGACGACTCGAAGGCTAGACGTCATTCCCTCTCTCCGCGGAAATCGATTGTTTTATCAAACGAAGTTGTCATAAATAGTATTGTCACCACCACCTCTCAAACCAACGGCACGCCTACCGCACACAAACATAAAATAGTTAATAATTCTCCGAAAAAAGCTAATTTTAAAAAGGAAGGAGCTGTGATGACCACCGAACCGGAAGACATTTCGGACTCTGACAAAGAGACCATTCCAGAGGATATACAAGCAAGCGCTTATCATGAAGAAATATTTGTAGACAAGTCTCTACAAGACGGAACACCACTTTTAAAAGTGTCTGCAAAGAAAAAAATGCAGAGAATTTTCAGAATTGACGTTGATCAAGGGAGAATATTATGGGATTCTAAAAAGTCCGGCAAAGGTAAGACAACTTAACCAGCACATACTTATCATGGTCAATTCTATTCATAATTTCTCGTTGCAATAAATAGTCAACATAGAAAACATCAAAGAGGTTCGTATAAGAGAAGCGGCTCGGTCCTATCGCGAGCTGTTCAAAGTGAGCGTCGACTTTGAACCTCGGTGGTTTACTATAGTCTACATTGAAGCCGGCAAGTACAAAACACTTCATCTGGTAGCGACAACCAAGTTGGATTTCGAAAAATGGATAGATACGCTCGAACGTCTATATTTCCAACGGAGAGACATGATGGGAGGACTCGGCCATCTGCGTAGAAGACAGTCTATATGGCTAAAACAGCATTGGAAGCAGGCTGATAAAGATGGGAATTCCAAATTAAGCTTTGATGAAGTAGTTAGATTATGTCGACAGCTGAACATTCATATGTCGAAACATGTGTTAAAGGCCAAATTTGACGTACGATAATAATATATATTCGCTTGAATTCATTGTAAAAAATACAAAATTAACTTGGATATAAATTATAGGACGCAGACCAGAGCAAAAATGGTTCTCTAGATTTTAGAGAGTTTCAACAGTTTGTAAAATTGTTGAAGAAGAGAGACGAAGTGGAAGAACTGTTTACGAAATTGGCTGGATTCGATAATGATGTGCTGTCATATGCGCAATTCAAAGAATTCTTGGCAAGAGTTCAAAAGGTATTAAATTAAAAACACACTTGTTTTTGCAAAACGCATACTAATTTATTAACTCGATAAACAATTCATAATTTAGATGAAATTGACGGAAAAAGAATATCGCACGCTTTACCACAAATTCAGCGATAAAGAACGTTCGGCAATGACTTTGGAAGGTTTCACCAGTTTCCTCGTGTCAAGCGACAATTCCATATTCGCACCTGAGCAGACTAAAATCTTCCAGGACATGAATCAGCCATTGTCTCACTATTTTATCAACTCGTCACATAACACGTAAGTTGTTGGTAATATTTTGCTTTTCTATTTACATCCGGCTTGCTGAATACTTATGAATCTATATACTTATATAGATACCTACTTGGTCATCAATTGAAAGGAGAATCATCGATTGAAGGCTACATACGAGCATTGCAACAGGGTTGTCGATGTGTCGAAAGTAAGTTTACCTGTGATTCTGAATATTAATGCTATTTACGTATCGAGTTTGTATACGAGTCAATGCATTAATCTCTCTCGCACTTGTAGTTGACTGCTGGGATGGCCCCGAAAGTCCAATAGTAACGCACGGGCATACTTTGTGAGCAACCGGAATTAATCCTTACAGTTTCTCTTTGAATAATCATCCGCCTGTACTGACGTATTGCTTTTGTCTTAGAACATCCAAAATCCTATTCGCCGATGCTATAAATGCCATTCGTATATATGCATTCAAGGCGTCAAGTTATCCGTTAATACTCTCACTCGAAGTACATTGTAACGTTGAACAGCAGACACAAATGGCATCAATTATACGAAGTATGCTTGGCGAATATCTCGTTGATTGGTGTATATCAGATAGCGAGACAGAACTTCCCAGTCCTGCCGCACTTATGAATAAAATACTAATCAAGGTAATGGTTATTTACACATTAGCGCTCACCTAGTGAATATTTTATGCAGGAATAAACTTATAATGTGCGTATTTTACCACAGGGGAAGAACATCCCACCCGGTCATGAAGACTCGGCAACAGAATCTGAATCAACAACAGAATCCGGATCCGATGTCGATTCGTCTAAAGGTAAAGTACGATTAACTCTTTGGATACATAGAGTTTTTGAATATATTTCGACCATGTATTTTATTGAATAGAATCCCAGGACCGCTTAAAGAAACAGGAAAAGTTAAAGAAAAGAAGTAAACGACGCATAGCGCCAGCATTATCTGACCTCGTTAACTACTGTTCAGCCGTGAAGTTCAAAGGGTTCGATTCTTATCGTACGTTGTCTTTTTATTAGCATCAAACACTATTGGAACGAAGCATTAATTCTCCTTTGCGTTGATAGACATAGAACCCTTCTATCACATGTCTTCCTTTTCGGAACGAGTGTCTTCTCGACTTATTAAATCAGACAGGAAGAACTTTCTTCGACATAATGTACGACATCTTAGTAGAGTATATCCGGCCGGATTTCGAATAAATTCGTCAAACTATGAACCGCATCACCACTGGATGGCTGGAAACCAAATGGTAGCACTCAACTGGCAGACGTTCGGTAAGCAGTATGAGTTATTTGATTGATCGATTAGCCGAATGACTATAATGGCAGCTTAATTTCAATGACCGCCTTTAATGTCGCCACTAGATCTTGGTATGCAAATCAATCAGGCAATGTTTATGGTGAATGGCAGATGTGGTTATATCCTCAGGCCAGAACGGCTACGAAAATATGAAGCCCTAACCACAAATGCATTGGCAACGGTAACGTCATGGAAATTGACAATAGAGGTGAGATCTTGCAACACGTGTGGCACCCACTACTACACTACTCTAGTTCCCTTCATATGTTTTCTAATCACCATAACGTCTCCGTTTATCAGATAATATCAGGCCAGCAATTACCAAAACCCAAAGAACAAACAAAAGGAGAAATAGTCGACCCCTTTGTTGAAATCGAGTTGTTAGTTCCTGGTGCAGAAGTTGTAAAATATAGGACGAAAACCGTTAACGATAACGGGTTTAATCCTATTTGGAAAGAAGCGACTGATTTTACAATACAATTCGAAGAGCTTAGTCTTGTGTTTTTACGGTAAGCGACGATTTTGATGATTCGCGAGTGAATTGGTGACCTTTTGCTTAAATTGCTGTTCGCCGACTATAGATTCAGTGTATATGACGAAGACATTCGAACTAGTGAATTCATCGCGTCGTATTGTATCCCTGTTGCAAGTCTACAACCTGGTAAGAAACATCTCCCAAACATCGTTTGCGATAGTTTTACATTTTAAATTTCTCAATTTCTCATTTAATTTTCTACTCAGGATATCGCAATGTCCCGTTAAACGACGCGAATGGAGAACAATACCTATTTACTTCTTTGTATATATGTTCATCTATATGTCGAATTTAATAGATATCTTAATTATTGTTTTATGCGATCCCAGGACCCCTGTATAGATTACTGTTTGTTTGTAATTATTCTAACTAATAAAAGTATTGATGAGAACATTTAAGCATCATTTTCATGCCGTGTTACCAGTATTGATGCAATGGGTCGCATGCACACCATACGCATAATAATAAAGGAACCCACATTAACATGTTGGACTGGCAACCATGACAGAACAAAAGGGCGAAAAGATAACTGGAAAAGACGAAAGACATTGCTCTGTGATAGAGCTCAAGCATTTCTCGTTGGTTAGGCAAGTTATTGTTTAGTATTGTTAGGCAATTTCCTTTGTGTTAATTAGTTTAATTCCAGTTGTGTTTATACTTATTCCAAATTATAAAGAAACTTCCATCTTGCTGATTTTATAACACTGGGAAATGGTGCATGTGGGTCTTTCGCTATATTCGCGAATATGCAATATTTGGCCACGGGCAATACTATTTACATTTGGCTCGGGATACTTCTCATTGCATGTGGCCTTTTTTTTGACGTTATGGATGGGAAAGTAGCAAGATGGAGGAAGAATTCTAGTTCTTTGGGACAAGAATTAGACTCGCTGGCCGATTTGGTAATGCCATATCAATATGTGTTATAAAGGGGAAAGAGAGAAGCTGTTACATTTGCGACTTTATTGTAATCTCAGTTTGGTTTTTTTTCTTCTTCGCGTATACTAGATATCTTTTGGCATGGCTCCAGCAACTTTAGCATTCGCAGTTGGAATGCGCTCACTTTTAGATGTTATCGTCCTTGCTGTATTCGTATCGTGTGGCATTGCCCGACTTGCCCGATACAATGCGACGGTAGCTTCTATTCCTAAGGATTCTTCTGGGAAGATACAATACTTTGAAGGAACTCCCATTCCGATATCTCTTATCCTTGTTATTGCTATTGCGTATTTCGTATACAATGAAAGACTGGATGACGATTTGCCCGGAGGGCTTTCTCACATTGTGGGTGGAGTTGACTTTCATCCGTTCGTTCTACTTTATGCATTATTTGGAACTGCGATGGTTAGCAAAACATTGAAGATTCCGAAAATTTAGGTTTCGAAATAAACCAAAATGATTCTATTAACAATTGGGTGATTTTAATGGACATTGATTTAATAAAAAAAAAGAGAGAGAGAAAGTGACTGGAATAAAAAAAGTGAATAAAAAGTGACTGAATAAAAAACTATATAAAAAATTTGAAAAAGAAGACTAAACAAAATGACTGAACAAAATGACCGAACAAAATGACCGAACAAAATGACTGAACAAAATGACTGAACAAAATGACTGAACAAAAGTGATCCATTCAATAATTAAAAAAAAAAAAAGAAGATAAACGCATATTTACAGCTTATACCCGACCGTAAATCAAAAATCTTGCCTATCAATAAATATGGTTAAAACAAAGAAAATCTTTATATCTACTCATATTGCATATCGGAATTGATCAAATATTTTCATCCTCTGCATTCACGCCGTGAACACGGAAACGATATAAACATGTGAATGTTGGATTATCCCAATTACTATTGACTTTCAGGAGAATTCCTTTGATAGGCTTCTTCAATCGCCGTGCACTCTCTGACAACTCGAACGTTTGCACAGGGCGACCATTTATGTCATACCTAAATCGACCAAGAGGTACGTGGCTTGGAAGAGATCCGAGTTCGAATTTACTTCCTCCCGTGATGCTTGCGATACTAGGATCTTGTAGATCTTCTATGGTGGCAGCGTCGGTGTCGGCAACTAGTTCTGATGGGCTTTCAGGTTGGTCATCACGCTGTATGTTACCTCCGTCGTCATCTATGAACCCCCAAACTTCAAAATCTTTAGGGGCGCTGCTCGCATCCGTTGTTGCCTGTTTACTGATATGATCATACGTGACGGCCGTTGGATATATTCTTCGACTAAGTAAAATACCAAGTTGACCTTGATTGCCAGAGAATGGCCAGCATTGACCAACATGTGTATCGGGCATAATGGCAGTAACTAACACCAGAAATATGGCGAAAACAAACGAATAAGCATAATTAGCCCGCCAATAGAATTCACAGTTGAGCATAACCGACATACCTGGAGGTTTCCCTCTTACTGTTCCAAAATTAAGAGTTTGGGCGATCAACCTCCTCCCCGTCGTTTCTGGATATATAACATATGTCTTCGATGTAATCGGTCCAATAATTTTGGCTCCAGCTGGACGCAGAGCATAGTCAGTCTTGCCGACTAAATCATCATCATAAGTAGCCAATTTTCTTTTCATTATATCACTTGCTTCGCTTCTAATCATGCCAATAACATTATCATCTTTGATGTCAATCGTTCTGGCAGAATCGTAGGCTTCCGAAAACTCTTGTGCTGCTTCATCTGTGAACTTACTCTTAATCTCAGCTGCAACAAGAGCTCTAATGACTGTTCTTAAATGAGGACCTTTCATATCGGCATCATCCTTGATGACAACCCGACGCGTCACCGCGGCGACTACGGCCCGAGAAAAAATTTCATCATCAGAATGTCTATTAAGCAATTCAGTTGGAGCATTGGACTTAGCAATCCAAACCATCCAAAGAATAAATGCAGCCACAACAATAACGAGTATGCGATGTCGGCGAGACCGTTCATAATATTGCCAATTATGGTGATGCACTCGGTTTCTCAAACAAACTATTATAGGTTGCAGTTTATCTTGCCAAATACACAATGCGTTCAGCAGCCTAGGTGAACCGCTTATCGACTTGACTTGTTCGTCTCTTGCTTCGTCTATTGGCTTATCATTAGACAGATCTTTGATCGCATTTTCCACAGGATCGGTTAGATGATTGGTTTTCTCATCTCCATTAGAAAAAGTCTTTAGATCATCTTCGTAAAAGCTTCTCACAGTTAGCTCACTTTGCGAGCGAACATTGAATTTTGAGAGATCGCCTTCACGAGGTGTATGCGGGTAAATCGACCCTAAGTCCGATTCAGTCTCGCCTGCAGCCACGCTAATATCAGAATATTATTGCATAAAAATTCGTTTATTAAATGTGCTGGAATCAAATGACGTACTGGGAGTATACCTTGCTTTCAAACTTGATATAGTTTCTTCAGGCGAAAAACCTCTATATTTTGTTTCGTCTAACATACCCTCGTAATATGTTCTATATGGTCTCAGGCGTGGAATAAATCCACTCACAGGCTTGAGGTCACTCTCTGTTTTGGACATAATTGGTATCCCAGAGTTTTCCTTACTCTTTGCATAATAAGTCGAGGTGTTCGTAATCGAATGCCTATCCACTGGTTTATTCATGATGTTATGGTAGAGTAAACTGTCCTTGTCCATTTTTTCGTTTAAATTAAAACCACCGAGAACTTCAACAATAATGTTCCCTCCCGCGTTTTAACCAATAATTTTCCCACCAAAAAACGCGGGATTTTCCAGCTTTCTCCATATAGAAACGCGTTCGGTAAGATCTTGAAAAATTCGGGTAGGTAACGAAGGTCATGCATAAGGAGATTGGCACGAGGTCAATTGTCAGAAATAGAACAAGAAGCTGCCACATGAGAATAATTTTTGGCTAAATTGAGAAAATGAAAATAATTGCTTACCCCGGGAGAATCTGGTATTAGTGTTGGTATTTTTGACAAAGATAAAGAGGAAGGCGAAACAATAGTAATAGTGCTTGCATTTATTGATTGATTGTGTTGTACTACATATACTATTTCGAAAACAATGGCTCTTTGCCGTACGCATGTTATAACGACGAAGTTGTCTGCTTCCGCATTACAAGGTTTGGTTACAAAGACAAGAAACTTTATTGTAATGCTCGTGTTAGTACGAGCACAGTACTTTATCAACGTGTCTGATCTCTCTACATTTGCAATCTTCCTAACTTTATTAACGATTCTTAGTGCCATTGTCTAATTCTAAGAACACAGGATTAGGCATGAGGATAAAGTAAATCTTAATAATTATCCAGCTGTTTGATCTTGGGTTGAATGCAGCTACATGTTTTCTTTGACCATGTTTATTTCCCTTCTCATCTAGGAGTTAAAAATCATAATGAACAGTATCGATTTGAAAAGGAAAGTTGCTCAGATAAAAGCCATAAGAGTAGTACTATTCGTCATAATATATTAGCATGGTCTGTATGCGCAAAGCGATCTTCAAAGAATGCTAAAAGCATTGCCCATGCTTAGAATATTAGCGACAATGGAAGATTAACATCCCAAGTGCAAAAGTTAAAGCTTTGGATGTACCAAGATTGCGTTCTTGCACCTTTCCAGTACAGGTTCCCCGCCTTATTTTAAAAGAATCAATAGCTAATTGATTCACATTATTCTTTTAAAATAAGGCGAAGAACCTGTAACTTTATCGATCATTTTACTAACTTTATTTAACGATGCATTAAGCTTTCATAGCGAGACGTTTAACTAGATTCGATACCTTGTCTCACGTAGAAAAGTTTTGTACGGACCAAGATACTAATACGTCCGCAACACAATGTCATCAATCTTAATCAATGTGGGTTTTTTGCGAAAAAATGTGCCAAATTTCCCTATTGCATAGCGATTAAACTTTATTTGACAGTGTAGATTGACTTTTTCTTAACGGCAAATTTCAACGGGATAGTGGTTCAATAAATTGACATGTGTTTGGAGGTTACGGCGTATTAGGATCGCTTTCTGTGCCGACTGCACGTCATAGAAATTTCATCCTTAGGCGTTCTCAATTTGGAGTGTGTAACCTGCATCATCATATCGAACAAATAATTCCTGATTATCTGGCTGTTAATGCAGGTCTGATTGGGCGATCGACGATATTTTGCTAGTTATGGCCGGTGAGAAAAATGCCAAAAATTGACTGCGGTCATAAATTATTTTAATTGGACAATGAACAAACTCGTTAATATAAAATCTTTTAGATGTCTGGCTAATATGTCATAGGAACAAAAGAAGTTAGCTGTTATTTGACTATTACGTGTGTGAGAATATCTGTAACTACATTTATCATCATATGGAGGGGCACTGGCTCCTTAGCTTTGTTATCTTCTTGAGAGGTGTGGAGCGAGAATAAGAAGTGAATATGTCGAACAGGATTTTGATAAGGAAAAACAAAGTCATTTTACCTAGACCTCCTCTGGTGATCGGGAGTGGAATTATGGGGGAGGTTTGTCTAGCCACTTTCCAAGGAAAGATGGTGGTGGTAAAGAAGAGTACTGTAATTATCCATTTATTAAGTCAGCATTAATTCTTTTCTATTTTTTTGCGCGTACATGTCTTGTAAGTGTCGTAAGAGAACTACGTATGTTACGCCCCCGTCCTAATTATATTATATTTTGCATTACAGAGAGAAATAGATGTGCTTCTTCAAGAATATAGCAATTACGCTAAATTACAGAAGCATAATAACATTCTCAAATTCTACGGAGTTATCAGGGATGACCGCCACTCGTTTTCTCTGGTGCTCGAATATGCATCGCATGGCAATTTGTCTTCATATCTAAAAACGCATACAGTCTGTTGGGAATGGAAGGCACAAATCTGTCGAGACATTTGTCTTGGATTGATGCATTGTCATGAAAACAACGTTTTGCACTTTGACTTGAAGCCAGAGAACATTTTGTTGAATGAAGATTTAGTACCAAAGTTGTCTGATTTCGGTGTATCGAAGACAAAGAGTAAAATGGTGCTCGACCAGCACAAAGCAGGCGGAACGATGAATTATGTAGCCCCCGAGAGAATTTGTAGAGATCTGAAAATGCGAGAGTTTTTTGAAAAGTGAGTAATAAGTAAATGGGGACATTAGCAACATATAAATATAGTATACTAGTAGTATATCTATTAGAATTGACAATATCTTGTAGACTCTTTATGACTTGTAAGTCACTGCTGACATTCGTCATATTTGTAGACATCCAAAGCTGTCAGACATATATTCATTTGGATTAATTCTATGGTCGGGTAAGCATAACCGTATATCACATTATCAATATTTATTTACCGCGCGTACTAAACAGTTTACTTAACTACTCTAGTGGCAAAGGACGGAGAACATCCATATGAAAATTTGCACGATGAGGAAATAAAGGCCCAGAAACGACTTCAAGATTGTTCGATTCAACTAGTAGCGCAACTTCCACCAAACACACCACCGGGTTACTGTCAACTCATAATAAACTTGACAAAATATGTCCCTAGTGAAAGACTGGAACTTAGTATTGCTAGACTTGAATTAGAAGATCTCTATGACGATGATGACGGTAAGTCGAATGCAAAGAATGACTAGCTGGCGCCAAATAAGCAACAAGTTAACTTATAATATTATACATTTCTATAAACAGACGAAAAAGAATTGCACGACAACGAAAGTTTAGGAATCGATTTTTATTGCTTAGAGGATGACGGTGATACTACCGTTCAAGGAGTTGATACTAGTTACTCTGATCCATTGACAAGTGAAGATTTATCAGACGCGGCTGGTAAAATACTGACAACATCACCTATCGATGATGACAGGCAAAAACTTTCCATTGACACAACAGACGAAGATACACGTAGTTTCTTTTCCAATTTCACAAGCCCCAGATCGCCAACACCACACAGTAGGTCGGCGAGTATGTCTAGTTTCAAGTCATCGACTGAAAGCATCAGACAAAGATCTGCGATTATGCCTAGATCCCCAACTACCAGAAAACCAATGCGCATAGAAATACCCAACGAGAATCTTCAAGACGGAATGGAAAACACGCCCACTAGCTCAGTTGATGGAAAATCACAGGCAACTTTAACTTCATCACCCAGTTCAATAAATATGCAATCACCTCTGTTTGAAGCACTAGCCAACGAAAATAGACGAAAAAGTATGCATTTGATAGACGAAATATTTGCTATAATGAAAGATTGGGAACGTTCAGGTGACGATGCCATGACTCTACGCATAAAGCAACATTGTGCTGATCGAGGTATTAAACCGACAGAGATACTCAATATACTCCTGTCAGAAAGCAATCCAACAAGTGACACGTACTTTTTAATTGGGTACTTTAACGAATATGTGTTAGGCGAAGACAAGGATTCTGTGACAGCATTCCAAAACTATACAAAAGCAGCCGAAATGGGAGACGCACGAGCTGAAGTCTACCTCGGAATGTGTTATCGCAAGGGCACAGGAGTAAACCCGAACCCAGCTATAGCTTTCGAATGCTTCCAGCGTGGCGCAGAAAAAGGATCAATGAGGGCCTTGATTAATGTTGGCTGGTGTTGCGATCTTGGAGTTGGGACGACTGTCGATCCCTACACGGCGTTCAGATGTTTCATGGGTTGTGCTGAGCAGGGATATGATACTGCTCAAGTTAGAGTTGCTGTCTGTTACGAGAATGGTAGAGGGACCAGGAGGGATTACGACAAGGCTTTAGAGTGGTATGTGAAGGCTGCTGAGAATGGACACGAAATGGCAAAGAAAAGAGTCGCAGAACTGGGAAAATTTATAAAGCGTGGATATAGGAAGCATCGGAAACATTTCTGGGTAAGTTCCGGTTGAGGGGACGAGGGGGGTTTGGTTGATGCTTTCAAGTGTTTTAATGGAATAACTTACGCCCATGGTAGTAGACTTCTATTGGAGGAAAAAGACCGTACTCATACAATGTCTGACTCTTTCTTCCCATCATCTTTAAGGGGAGAAGTCTTTTTCGTCCGCCTAGATCCAGCACAGTTTGACTTTAGCTAACAAGTCCGCAGACCCTGCTTTTATTTAAAATAGTCACATGTCATGTAATTGTCATGTTCTCAAAAATCAAAAATGTCAGATTGAATTACAAAATTAACTGATTATATAAAATTTAAAGAAAAAAAATGCGTTACACTCCAAAAGAACAATTCTTAAAATTTTGTGGGGAATCAGAAGGTATAGTGGATCATAGAGACATGTGGCGCAATAATAGACTCGAAGATGTTAATAAAATTAAACTTCAGAGCCTGGTTCAGAAAAAGACATTCGGGTTGAATGAGGGAAATTGGCGTGCTTTGGAACAAGAGTAGAATTCCCACGCGTCTAAGTAATCATACGCCATAGTAATTGTGATTTTATACAAAATAGTAGTAGGCAGTCAGATTGTGCGACATTCGTTCGAGGTTAATTTGCCCAGCCCGCATATCACATGGCGATCATCAATGATAATCACCTCTCGACTTGTTTATGTCTCTACATCAAACATTCCAATCTTGGTTGGCATCCACTCCACGACTCTTGCTTGATTTTCGACCTCTAACTTCTCACTTCACAAAGCGCATAATTCCGTCTACATGTATCCCACTCTCTGAAATATCTTGTCTTTGGTTCGAACTACCAACAAAGCAAGTTCCATTTGCAGTATTGGAACCACATACTAATGTGGGTTGCAGCAAAAAGTACTTGATCACTAGAGGATGGAAGGTAAACTGGATATTTGAAGACACTGACGAGCTGTGGGAAATTGCGAGAGAGTCTAACTGCGTGGAAGAAGGAGACGGGAGCAGCAATAAACGGCAACAATGGGTGCTATTCCAACCGAATCCGTTTCTAATGTCTAATGTCGAGTCTGTCGAACAATCTCTTTTGAAATTGGGAGATCACACAGGATCATTCACCTTAGAGTGCTTGGATATTGGGTGTGGAAGTGGCAGGGATACGGTATGGCTATGTGCTATCAGGAATGAAGTGGACTGGCGCGTGACGGCTGTCGATGCGTGGCCAGGTGCGTTAGAGAGAACAAGGGCTTTGGCCAAAGGATTGGGCGTTGAGAAGAGGGTTGAGACGGTTAACGCGAAGGTTATGGCCGATGGTGATATTAGAGGAATAAGTGAAGGCGATAATGCTGACTATGGCGATAAGAGTGGCTTGAATGTCAAAGAAGTAGGGATTGGCCGTTGCATCGACCTAAGCAATAACGATGCATCTGTTGTTCGAACACATGACTCAAGTAAGTTTGCTTGCTCCCTGTTAATGTTCACCATGTCATAATAGCGCCTATGAATTCGAACAAAAAATATCATCCTAGCACCTGCTATTATTGCCAACGATATTCTTCCCAATCGACCGCAGTTCAGCTCAACTCCGACATCACTGCCGTTCTTGGATCGCACATACGACTTGGTTCTAATGATCCGGTTTCTATCGAGAGAGTTGTTTCCTACAATCCGTCGATTGGTTAGGCCGGGCGGATATGTGTTGATTAGTACTTTCGTGAATTCACCATCTCATCCTTTGTATTCGAATCCTAAATCTAACAAACATCGGTTAGAATTGAACGAGTTGAGAGGCATTTTTGAGAAATGGGATGACTTTGATATCGTAAAGGATGTTATTGAAGTTATTGAAGATGGGCGACCTGTTAATTCTTTTCTTGCGCGGAAGGTTGTTGGACATTCCATGTCGTAAGAATTTTCTCACGTAGCATGCTCTATCCAATAGTTGTTTTTCTAACGTGAGAATGGTAAGAATTTTGCCACAATAACAAATATAGACCGGATGCCTACTTTTATGGATATTAATATGGCAATGCGTCCAGTAAACGCCGTGTTCAGGAAAGGAGTAATGTTTATATCGTCCGATGAGGTTATCCGGGTTAGAAAGGGTTCAGGAGATATAAATGGAGGTCTTGCGCGGATGATAACTTGATGCTAGGCCTGTGGGGATGGCTGTTTTACTATCGTAATAATTTTAATCACCAACCAATAACGTCATATACTACTTTATTTAGTAATAGTAATGCTGATTTATTACTATATGCAGCTCGTGATATGTAATAAACGACGT